AAGAGAAGAGAAGAGAAGAGAAGAGAAGAGAAGAGAAGAGAAGAGAATAACTTTATTGGCCAAGTGTGATTGGACACACAAGGAATTTGTCTTGGTGTAAATACTCTCATTTAACAACAACTATGGCAAGACAGGTCATAAAATGGGACAAACTTCACTTAACAGCTGTCCTGCTTTGCAAGTTTTGGGAAAATTGGACTCAGTTGTGCTCATAAGTTGAGGGCGACAATGTCATCTTTTTCAGGACGCCTTTCCAATATCTTGGAACTACAATTCCCAGGGTGCCCTCGGCCATGCTGCCTGGGAATTCTGGGGAGTCCGAGAAAAAGCCTAACCTAAAGGGCAAAATTGCATCACATATTTTTTTTAAAAGGCTGAAACGTTATCACTGCGTTTGGAGGGAGAAGAAGAAAGTTTATTTGCTTGGTTTCTCCTTTCCAAGAAATTTGCTTTTTTTTATTTTTTTTCCAACTCAGCTTGGAAAAGGAGAGAGTTTATTAGCCAGGCTTGTTGTGCTGAACTTTGTAAAACATCAACCTACAAAGCAATTATTAAATGCAAAACACAGAAAGCTTTTGTCCTAACAAAGAACTAACTTTGTAGCTACAGGCAGTTCTGGCTGGAAGCTGACCGGTTTGCTTATCTTCTCTGAAAAAATAAACCTTCCAGTTATTTTTCCAGATGTCGCTATCAACTCTGATCAAATCATCCTGAACTTTGGTTGAAGTGTTAAGCCAGGTTACTTTAGGGCAAAAAATTGAAAGGAGAAGCGAACTGTTTTCAGAAACATCAAGAGGCTGGAAACAATTCTATCTTTAAAGGGAGAACATTTCTAAATGCCCTCTTGTGATCCTGCCTCAATGGCCACAAATGGATGAATGAAACTTATTTTAATGAGCTGAACAGTTTGGGCATTGCCAACCTTTCAAAGGCCAGCTGTGAACCTTTGCCTTTAACATCTTTTATTTGTATTTATTTTATTGAAATGATTTGTACGGCCTCTCATTCAAAAACAGAATTCTGGGTAGCAGAACAGCAACATAATTTTCGTTCTCGCTCACTTATACACAACCGCCTATAAAAAAATTTTCTGGCCTAAAGAAAAATATTAATTTATTATGTTTGATAGTCTCGGGTGCTCAGGAAAACGAGGGATGGAGAGAGAGAAAAAAAAAATTGGTTGTACAATAACCAGTTATTAAATTCACAATCAGCTGTTATAATCCTGTTTTAGTTTAGTTTACTTTATTGTCACTGCACCTCTACAATGAAATCAAACACCATCTTCAGTGCACATCATGACCATGACCATGAAAATGAACACAAACACACATCCTTCACACCCCACACATTGAACCGAACCCCCCCGACACCACACCAACACTGCACTATAGAGCAAAATTCAACAGAGCTACTGCCCTGGGATAGAAGCTGTTTTTCTGCCTATTTGTCCTTGTTTTTATTATTCTGTACCGGTCTGCCAGATGGTAATAGTTCAAAAAAAGGGTTCCCAGGATGAGATGGATCTTTGAGAATGTTTTAAACTTTCTTAAGGCAGCAGGAACTATAAAGCTCTTCCAAAGAGGGGAGAGGGCAACCCAGGATCCTCTGGGCAATGACATTAACCCTCCGGAGGGCCGTCCTATCTGCCCCTGTGCAATTGGCAAACCAGACAGAAGTGCACTAAGTTAAGATACTCTCTATGGTGCAGCGGTAGAAGGTCACCAGCAGTTTTTCATTCAGTTGTTTCCTGAGAAGCCTCAGGTAGTATAATCTCTGCTGGGCCCTTTTGACCAGGGCTGCAATGTGGACACCCCAAGTCAGGTCCTCTTTTAGGGTAACACCCCGAAACTTAAAACTTATTCTGTTATTTTTGCGTGTGAGTGGGTATTTGTGCAACGGTCAAGCGTAGCTGGACCTAAAACAATGGCTGCCTCAGCTAAATCAGTGCCCCCTGTCCCTCTCTTACATGATCAACCCAATTAAGGAATTTTGTGGAAGGAAGCGAAGGAGAACATCAGTTGCTTTTGGGGAGAAACTGTGTGGCAATTGTGTTATTTTTTTTTATTTTCTTTTTTTGTGAAAAGCGAAGTAGTGTGTTGACTTGGCAGCTTGCCTGAAAGGGATCTTAAAAAGTCCCTGCTCCAGGCAGTGAGTCAGAGTCATGAACATGGAATGGCAGTGATACTCATCAGCTCAAACCGACAGTCTGCTTTTGATGACCTCTTGTTCAACAATAACATTTGACCAACTAAAAATCTAATCTTGGGCAATTGGGCCAGATTGAATCATGCCGTTCCCCACCCTCACCCCCAATATCACCCTCCTCTCTCTCTCTCTTTTTCAGATTTAAACTTCAAGAACACACACAAATACACAATCACATTGGGGCTCTGTACCACTGTTTTCCAAACTTTAAGATTGGGGGACTTCAACTCCCAGAATTCCCCAGCCGGCAAGTCTACACATCGAAAAGATTTCTGGCTAGGAAATTCTGGGAGTTGAAGTCCATCCATCTTAAAGAATGTTGGCTGTGGGATTCTGGGAGTTGAAATTCGCATTCTCGGTTTAGTGACTGTTCAAAATTACAGAAGAACTTAAAAAATGAGATATCACTGATCATTGCAGTGTTGGAAGAAATGTCCCTCTGGGTTCAGTTCCAAGTGGGGGAAAACACACTGGAAACATGGAGGCTTTCTTTGGAAAGATGGTTTAATGGTGGACAGGACGACATGGCTTGGAGATCCCGGGTGAAAAGGACTATCACATGCTTCAAGATGTTGGGTGAAGGAAAAGAAGAAGAAGAAAAAAAGGAGCAAGATGCTGAGAGTGCCTGGGTTTTATGCCCTCTGTTGGGATTTGAATTTGAGCTTGTATTCTGATTGGTTGTCAGACTCCCATGGGGCCGTGCGGGGGCAACTCTGTAGGCTGTCCTGAGTTCCAGGCTTGGTTGAGCCTTGCTGGATGGTGATGTAATGAAAGGGTTTTGGGCAATTCCTATTATAGCTCTACCTGGGGTAGGTCTTTGTTATGTAAAACAGACTGCCCTAGGCCAGAGTAATGGTCCATTAGCAAAGGGTGGGGGGTGGGGCTGAGTTTCCGCCTCTCTGAGTTTCTACTCTTTTAAAGGGAAAAATTCTGCCTTTTTAGTATATCCTAAAATATTTCATTTTTCTAGAGGGGGTGGGTTTAACTTCCAACAGCAGCTTCCAACAAACGAAGTCAGTTAGGAAAGCTTCATTCATTTAACAATTGGATGATTTACTTAACTTTTAAGATGGGTGGACTTCAACTCCTAGAATTCCCCAGCTGGCAAATCCACACATCTGAAAGGTTTCTGTCTGGGGAATTCTGGGCGTTGAAATTCACATTCTCTGTTTAGCGACTGTTCAAAATCACAGTGAGTTATCACTGATCATTGCGGCTTCCAACGAACAAATTCAATGGGGAAAGCTTGATTTGTTTAACAATTGGATGATTCACTTAACAATTGTGGCAAAAAGGTTGTAAAATCAGGTGTGGGTCCCCTAACAACCGCCTGGTATAATAGCACAGGAAGTTCTGAACCTACCTGTGCTTGTAAGTCCAGCTTACTATCTGCATTCCATTTTATTTTTATTTTATTTTTTTATTGATTTGTCTCCCACCTTTATTATTTTTACAAATAACTCAAGGCGACGAACATACTATATTCCTTCCTCTAGTCCTGCTATTTTCCCCACAATAACAACAAACTTGTGAGGTAGGTTGGGTTGAGAAAGAGAGAGAGAGGGACTGGCCCAAAGTCACCCCTATCTCTTTCAGACCTAAAGCAGGACTAGAACTCACAGTCTCCCGGTGATTGGCCCCAAGTCACCCAACCTACTTTTGTGTATAAAGAGGG